GTGGGTGCAGGGGCCCAAGGACTTGGGCCAGCTTCTGCTGCTTTTCCAAGCCATAGCAGAGCACTAGATAGGAAGTGGAGCAGCCAGTACTCGAACTGGTGCCCATATGGGGTGCCAGCACTGCAAGGGCGGCTTTACCTGCTACACCACAGCACTGGCCCCCTTAAAAATAATTTTTACCAGATGATTTGAAGGGACTAAACTTTGTGGTTTTCTTCCTTACTCCTTCCTTCCTTCCTTCCTCTTTCTTTCTTCTTCTTTCCTTCTTTCTCTCTTTCTTTCTCTCTTTCTTTCTCTCTGTCTCTCTCTGTCTCTTTCTCTCTTTCTCTCTCTCTTTCTCTTTCTTTGTTTCTTGGCAGTGAAGTAGAGAGAGAGACACAGTCAGACAGAGTTCTCCATCTGCTGGTTCACCCCCTGCAGCAGGCCAAACCAGGATCTGGAACTCAGCTCAGGTCTCCTGGGTGGGTGGCAAGGACCCGACTACGTGGGCTGTCACTGCTGACTCCCAGGGAGCGCATTAGCAGGAGGCTGGAATAGGAAGCAGAGCTAGGACTTGAACCCACACTCTCCAGTAGGGGGAGCAGGCATCCCGACCTGTGGCTTGACAGCCGCACCAAACACCCACCCCCAGACTTTGTTTTTATGCTATTTGATTTTAATATTATTTTATTAACTGAATATCGGGCCATCATCATGAAAACAGCCACTGAATAAAGCTTCAAGATAAAATGTGTGAATCCACACTTGCATACTTTTGAACCTGATATCTGTGTAGTGAAAAATTCCCATGATTTTTATTATAATTATTTCCTACTCTCTCCTCTACAGTAAATAAATATGTGTATCCGAGTGTAGTCCTGTTTTACAGTTTTCAAGACAGTAGCAAATAAAGCACAAAAGCACAAGGCTGCGAAAGCAGCAGTCAGATCCACGTAGTTAAACATAACCTTGATTAACAAATCTTGTTATTCATGGATGCCAGCTCAGTTAATAAGTGTCTGTGGCTTGGATACTGAACTGGAGGTTAATGCAAGGTAGAAGCAATGGTCGAATCCAGGTTTTTAAGACAAACACAGCTCACACACCAGAAGGCATGCATGGAATCAGGTGTAGTCGGCCAGCTGTGGTGATGTGCACTGGGTGTTCTCCTCCAGTGGCGCAGCTGTGAACAGCCACCAGAGCTGGCATCTCACCAAGCCCCTGGAACCAGCGCGTCCCACACACCCAAAAGGGCCACTTCCTCATTCACCAAGGGATGGTCGAGAGGAGACTGTGACAGAAGGACGCCTTGTATTGGAAAGTTTTTACATGAGGTTTTGTTTTGACCTCTCTGGATTAGATGTGGGGCGCAGGTGGGCTGGTGATACAGGTCCGAGGGAGTGTGTGTCCAGGACACAGAGCTGACACCCAGCTCATCCTGGCCAGCCGGTGTCAGCGGTGCAGTAGATTCTCAACTTCAAGTCCCTTCTGCACAGAGTGAATGAGCCGTGATTTGAAAACTGCATTGTTCTTTGCCTCCAAGGGACATTTTTGTAAGAATCTGGAGCTCTGGTACACTCTTTAAGTGTGGGATGGGTTAAAAGGCAGATGATTGTTCTTATTTTGGCGCATGCTGGGAGCCAGCTCAGCACTGAGAGTGAGCGAGTGAGGACGGGTCCGTCCCGTCGTGGAGGCACGAGAGAATGTGGGAAGCTCCGCCGTCCTCCCCTGTTCCTTCAGAGGAGGGAGGGAGGGCTGACCTCCAGGCTGTCCCTGGAATCGGGGCCCTGGAGTGCGGCCCGGCCGTGTCATGGGTCGTGTGGCCCCGCATGTGCACCGGAAGGTGAGAGCGCGTGAACTTTTGCCTCAGTCGTGCCATCCATCAGGGAACAAATGGAGCAGATCCACGTGTGCAGCGAGGGGCTGGGTCCTCCCCACACAGGGGCCTTTGTCTCCCGGCCAGGCCCCGGGTCACGATGGACGCACTCGGCCCCAGCTCTGTGGCGAGTTACTAACCCATTATCACACCAGAACACGGGATCATTTATCTTCTAATCCAGAGTGTCACCTGTTCTTCATTTACCAGTCAATAAGCATTCATTATGCTCAGTGGAAATTTAAACACAGCCCTCTGCCTCTGTTAAAACCAGTAAACTATTCAGCAATAACAAATAAATCTGGAGTTGTATACCCTTTCCCGCCCCATTCCCAGACTGCGGTCTGGTACAATATGAACGCTGGAGGAAATGCCTGGGAATTGATAGGTCAAAGGCCACCGATAGTCTGATGGCAAAGGAAAGAGCAGATTCTTGGCCCTGGCTCCGGCGAAAGCCAGAGGCTGCCACTGATGCCGGTTCCTGCCGGGAACACAGCACGCACCAGGGGACCTGCGCCTGTATGCGGAGCGACGGGGCTGCACACAGCAGCTGTGCTTCCTCGCATTTTTACCGAGACCTTGTTTTCTTTCACAGGCTAAAAATAGGAATTTCTGAAGACCACGGTAGCACAGCAGAGTGTTTCCAAAGAAATAAAATCAGCTGAGGGGTCCTTAAAGACCTAGTGGAAGTTTTATTTTTAGAATGGTAATTCAAGGCAAACACATTTAAGCGTATTTACCCCATTAGTTCTAATGCCTCAGACAAGTGTTCAGATAGGAATTCTAGCCAGAAGCCTAATTTAAATTTTCCTAAAAATTCTGAAAGTATTTGACAAAAGCCAAAGCAAGTGTGTGTGTGTGTGTGTGTGTGCGCGCCTGCTCTGGGATGCACATGTACACCCTGAGTGCAGGTGATAAGGGAAGGTCGGCTTAGCTGGGAGGGTGGCCAGAGGGCAGGCTTGGGCCCAGTGGAGTCACCACACCAGGGGCTGTTGATCACAGGAAAACCCAGGGGCCAGCAGGAATCCACTCCAACAGCTAAACTGCAAACCCCGATACAGGCCCCAGACACGGTCATTATGCTCAGACAGATGACAGGAGAGAGCTTCCGGGCGCGGGTACCTGACAGGCAGGCACAGACCACAGAGAGCCAGTTCCGCCAGCAGGCCTCTGCTTGTGTGGGGGGGCCTCCGCACCCATTCCAAAAAGGCACCTCTCTGAGAACCTCGTGACAGACGGTGCTGGGCTGTGAGGGCCCCGCCCCTCCTCAGCCTCCAGATTTCATAGTAGCAGGGGGGCTCCCAAGCCGTATAGACCCCTCTGCTGTGTGTGGCCTCCCCAAAACAGAGGAGTTTGTGTTTTGTGCCTTTAAAACGTGGATCAAGCTCTAGTAGCAGTGGTCATAGCAGAACACTTGAAAAGTGCCGTCTATGACTCAGTACGCCGTGATCCCCAATGCAGACTGAAACTGCAGGGATTCCATTAATGTGAACAAAACTGCCTCCTGGCCGCAGGGTTTCGTCTGTCAGTGACCTTAGGGCGTGCAGCTTGCCACACCTGGCTGGCATGCCAGGGCTCCATGCGAAATTACTCCCAAGTCTCATCCTTGGAACAAGAAGATGACTTAAAACCACCTTGTGATAGACCAAAAATGCAGACATGTCCAGGAGAAATAACTTAAGGGAAAGAGTTAACAGTTTAATGTATTTTTTAGAACGTTGCCACAAATTCAAATGAGTAAGAGGGATTAAGGAGTTTAGATGGTGTTTCCTAAGAGAAAACAGGCTGGCTAATGGATCAGCAGCCTGTCTTCCAGCTTGTCTAATAGCTTCTATGGAGACACCAAGCAAAAGGAGTTTTCGAACATGAGTTCAGAGCCATGGCGTCGAGGACTGTCTTAGAATGAAATGCCTATTCTTTCTCCCTGTTTTATATTGAGAAATGGATGGGAATGATTAAAAAAAAAGGATTTTTCTTTTGGCTAGGGTCTTTATTTATTTTTTTAAGATTTATTTATTTGGAAGGCAGAGAGACAGAGAGGTATCTTCCATCCACTGGTTCACTCTCCAAATAGCTGCAACAGCTAGAGCTGGGCCAGGCCAATGCCAGAAACCAGAAACTCCATCCGGGTCTCCCACGTGGTTGGCGGTGGCTCAAACACTAGGGCCATCGTCCACTGCCTTCCCGGGCCTGTTAGCAGGGAGCTGGATCAGAAGTGGAGAAGCCAGGACTTGAACTAGTGCTCATAGGGAATGCTGGAGTTGCTAATGTGACTTAACCCACTGGGCCATGATGCCAGCCCGTTTAAAGATAAATGTGCGTGGTAGATTCAAGCTACATTGATTTTTTTAAAAGTCTGTATCTCTCCCGTGCAATTCCAGGCCATAGAAACTGTGGACCTCTATGCTGCTAAGAGAAGTTCTTCTGATGCAGGGAGCCAGGTTGTGTCATTTGCTTTTGGGTTTTGGACATGTGACTGTGTTCTGGCTCCGCCGGCCTCCTGGTGGCTACTGAGAAAGGGACCCTGCGATGCAGCCAAAGTGGGAGGTGGAGCATTGGCCTCCAGATGCTGCCTGGTGAACCCCTTCACTCTGGTGCACTTTGTCAGGGCCTGCAGACAACTTGTGAAAAACAGCAGTGCTTTTTATTACCTGGTTGTTTTTCCACCACTGAGTCTTACTTTGCTTTTCGACTGCTAAATGTTCAAGTTTATTACTAAGAAATTAAGCACAACTTTGGGGGACAAATCATTTTTCCCTGCCCGTCTGTGATGTGAAGGGAAACGCGACGGCGCTTGCAGATGCGCCTCCTGCAGCTCTACTTCTGAAAGGGTTGTTCACCTCAGATAGCACATTGCTCTGAGCTGTGGCCCCAGGCCCTGTGGCAGAGAATCTCCGGGCAGTGAAAGATAAAGATCCTCACAGAGGCCACGCCTCCGCGCCTGGAGCCAGGCGTCCAGACCACGCTGTTCCCAGGAGGATTCTGACGCACTTTCGCGTTTGCGATCCGTTGCTGCAGCGGCCGGAATGGTGCCCTTTGCGGCGCGCATGTCCTCATCCAGCCGTGCCCACCTGGGAGCGCTGTGTTTCCGAGGGGGCCGCTGAGTGTGCCTCTCACCAGGGTGTACCTCTCTCTGTCTCTCTAGGCTATGTGGCTGATGTTGCAGAATGATGAGCCAGAGGACTTTGTCATAGCCACCGGGGAAGTCCACAGTGTCCGCGAGTTCGTGGAGAAGTCGTTTATGCACATTGGGAAAACCATCGTGTGAGTACACGGGCAAGGTCACGGCTGGTGGGCGTGCACGTGTGTGTGTGCTCTTCCACCTCACGGTGTTGTTTCCTTTTGCTTGTACGTTCTTACACCACCGCCTGGAGCTCCGCACCCACCCTCACTTCGCTGCCTGTGAGGTATTTGTCAAGGTCCAAACCAAGTCTTTCCACACCTTTCATTGTTCCTATCGCTTAAATTTTGTTATTTTTATTTACTTTCACATTTCATTTTTGCTCATCATAAGGAAACCATCTTTACAGTTGCTAATCTTACGCTGACCAGATCGATGTGATGACGTTACATAATCATTATAATACTTTCACTTTCTAGTTTTAAAATTTGAAATCATCAAAAACTTACAGAAAAGCTTCAAATACAAACCATTTTCCTTTCTCTGAACCATCGACCCTAAGTTGTGACCTGTTGCTGCGTCACCCTGAACTTACAAGCAGTAGTGCTCTCCCACATAAATGCAACACGGCCGTCACACCCGGGAAGTTCACAGTGCAAATGGCTGTCACCCAGGCCTCAGCTTCTGCTGGAGTTTTGGCAGTTGAACCAGTGATTTACTTTGTACCAAAACCGTCTGGTTTCTACTCCTTCATTTACTCCTTGCATTACACAAGGTGTGAAATCAGATTTTCATTGGAATATTTGAGGGACTTCTGGAAAATCCTTCTTTATAGCTGAAGAATTCGTGCTTTTTTTTTTGGTAATTTTCTTTATTGTGATAAATCATAGACTGACATAAAATTTACCAGCTTAGCCATTTTAAGAGTGTACAATTGAATGACATTAAGCACATTGGCAATGCTATACAACATTTAACTCTGTTTCCATCACATTTAACATTTCCATCACCCAAACGGAAACTCTGTGCCGACCGAATAACAGCAGCTCATCCCCTCACCCCGGTTCCTGGCGGCCTCTACTCTGCCCGTGCCTATTGTAGGCAGCTTGTGTAAGTGCAGTCATGCCCTGTGGTGCTTTTGTGCTGTGCCATATTTGCTTTATTTTGGTTAGCATGATGTTGTCAGAGTTCATCCATGTTACAGCATTTCGCTGTTTTTTTTTTTTTAAAAGACTGAATAATTTGGACATTAATTCGTTCTGTTTCTCTGCTCTTCCCCCGTTCCCTGGGACTCCCATTCACATTAGGTTGCTGTATAATCGTCCCTCAGGTCACTGGAACTAGGCTCTATCCCACCAGTCGATTTCTTTGTATACATCAGCTTGGATCATTTCTGTTATTATGTCTACAGGTTCACTCATCTTCTCAATGCTAGCGCTGAGTTCTCCACTCGAGATACTTTTCATCTCTAGAAGTCCCATCTGATTCTCCTGGGGTGGGGGGAACCAGATGGAACTTCTAAGGATGAAAGTCCAGATTTTCCCCGCATTTTATGAAGATAATACAGACACAGATCCAAGAGTCATAATAAACCCCAGGCAGAATAAAGACGAGCAGTCACACCGGTACACCTCAGAATCAGAATACTAAAGGTAAATGTCAGAAAACCTTAGGGGCAAGAAGAGAAGAACGATGATTCTTTAGGGAAGAACAAAAATAAGAAAGTTTTTTGTCAGCAAATATGCAAAGCAACATCTTTCTACTGCTACAGAAACCTACAACCTAGAATTCTATGCCCAGGAAAAATATGTTTTAAGTAGACATGAATTAAAGACTTTTTCAGATTAAAAAAAAAAAAAAACAAGCAAATGACTCTGACATGATTCATTGCCAGCAAGCATTCAGATAAAAGGAAAATGATACCAGAATGACAGAATGACAGCAGTTTGAGACTTGGATCTGTACAGAGAAATGCACAGCAAGATAAATAATAAATAGGTAGGAAAATAGAAAATGTTTTCCATTCATTTCTAAATTTCCTTAAAAGATAATTGAGTATTTAAAAATAATATGTTGTGGCATTTCTGATACTGTATATATGAATCCTATGATGAGAGTAGCACAAAGTACGGGACAGACGTTTAGCCATTATATTGTTGTGAGCTTCTTCCATTAGACGTTAGTGTAGGATTACTTGGAGAAAGATTCCAGTGAGTTAAAGAGCGTCCTGTGAACTCCAGAGCTGTACGAAAACAAGTGGAAGAATAGCGGTGAGCCAGTGGTGGGTGCGGACGGAATCCCCAGTGTCCAAACAGAAAGGAAGCCGGAAAAGGAGGAGCGGGAGCAGATGCAGATGGGACAGCCGCGTTGATAACTGCATCAGTGGTAAAAGCTCTGTGTGTTTTAAGGAGATGGGCTTGATGAAAAAGCCAAGTGCTGTCTAAAGAGACCAGCTTAAATATAAGCAGACAGATTAAAAATAAAAAGATGAAAATATAAAACATGCAACACCAGTCATAAGAGAGCCGGAGAGGCTGTATCGTAGGAGACAAATTAGACTCCAGAACTTGCAAGAAATCAGAAGTCATCTCATCGTGTGAAAGGGGTCAACTGAACATGAAGACAGAGCAACTTCATGTATGTTCTGCTTAGTGGAAGAAGCCGGAGAAAAGAGGGCATATGCTGCATGACTCCATGTGCAGGCTATCTAGAAAAGACTAAGCTGGTCAGTGTTTCCCGGAGCTTGATCAGGGTGAGGGGCCTTTTGCACACGAATGATGCTCCATGTGTCAGCCTGGGAGATGCACCGTAAACGTGAAGTGAGCAGCTTAGGAGGGCACAGGGAGGCTGTGGGGTGATGGGAGTGGTTGATGTCTGATGGTGGTGGTGGTCTCCTGAGTGCTTGCCTTCTTCAAACTCGTCAGACTGCATCCTGATTGTAGACTGTGTTGGTTCCGAATCACCGCCGTCTGCCTGGTGCTTTGTAATGAAAGCAGCAGGAAACAAGGAGCCTTGGTGGTCACCATCAAGGACATGTTCAAGTCAGTTTGATCAAGTTTTACACCTATTAAAAATAATAGAGAAGGAGTTTAAATCACATGATATGACAACATCAAATTGGAAATAAAAAGGGAGATACAGGTTTCGATTTGTTATGGGAATCTAAAACTCCATAAAAATATACTTCCAAAAGATGAAAGGAAAACACACCAAAAATGTGATGATGGTAGTTTAATATGGGGGCATCCTGGGTAACTTTTACCTTTCTGCCCTATGGTTTTCTCTGTTTCCCAAAATTCTGTGATGAACTTGTATGCTTTTGTTGTAGGAAATCACTTTAAATGCAATTTTAAACATTTGAGATTGTCTTATCAACGAATCCCCAAGTTAGACTCTTTTGAAAACTGTCTGTCCCTTTCCCATTCCCCAGTATTGGGAGTAATGTACTGACGTTTCCAGTCACTGAGTCGCCGTCTGTCCCATGGCCCCAGAGACCCAGTGCCTGTTTTTGTCCTCACATAGTGTTTCCCAGATGGGGATGCTATTTGAGAAGATGTTGATAAAGCCTTCAATGGCTGCTTCGTGTGCAAACGGCTGCATGTCGTAACCTCTCTTGGAGAATCATCAAGCTGTACGTGAAACATGAATTAATTTCCTGTTCAGACTTGTCCCACCTCCGAGATATCTCACCATATATCCGCCAATGTCCCAAAATCCAAAAAGATCTGAACCCTAGAACACTTCTGAACTTTAGCGTTTTGGATAAAGGACACTCAACCCATAGTTTATGTAAAAGCGTAAACTTGGTTCCCCAGGCCAGATGGCTTTGTGAATGTGGTCTACACTTTAGGTTTCATTGTTCCTTCCAGTCTCCTTCCTCTGACTCTTCCCGGGCCCCACACATCAGCATTCCAATCTCAGCTGGAAGAGGAGCAGGAAGCCACAGGCAGGGCCAGGAGCCCCCAGCTGCAGCTGTGAGCTACTGAGGGGCGAGCAGCGTCCTCACAGGCAGCAAGCCGGCAGAAAGGAGCAAACACACGAGGCTCTGAACAGATCTCCGAAGGCCAAGGACAGCATTGGCCCCGCTTCAGGGAGGCGTGGTTTTGAGGAGCTTAAGGAACCCAGGAGCCCCTGCTTATTGCTCCCCGAGGTTGCAGTGACCTGCAGTCTGAAATGGGACACGGAAGATTCCAGAAATAGGGAATTCATACCCTTTAAATTCACCATTCTGGCTGGCGCCGCGGCTCACTAGGCTAATCCTCCGTCTTGTGGCGCCGGCACACCGGGTTCTAGTCCCGGTCGGGGCACCGGATTCTGTCCCGGTTGCCCCTCTTCCAGGCCAGCTCTCTGCTGTGGCCCGGGAGTGCAGTGGAGGATGGCCCAAGTACTTGGGCCCTGCACCCCATGGGAGACCAGGAGAAGCTCCTGGCTCCTGCCTTCGGATCAGCGCGGTGTGCCGGCAGCAACGCGCTGGCCGCGGCGGCCATTGGAGGGTGAACCAACGGCAAAAGGAAGACCTTTCTCGCTCTCTCTCTCTCTCTCACTGTCCACTCTGCCTGTAAAAATAAATAATTAATTCACCATTCTGAGTAGCATGGTGGAATCTTGCACTGTACTCCAGCGCACCTTGGATGTACAACATTCCTGCGTCCCACGTGTACAGATGGTACGTGCCATCCAGCCTCTGCACCCCTACACACCGCTAACTACCCCTCTGTGCACGTCCATCCCGTGCGCCTGCTCACCCTCACTCACAGAGCAGCTGCCGTGGTCATCAGATCCGCAGTGCTTGTCTTCAAGTCACCCTTATTTTACTTAATAATAGCCCCAAACTGCACATACAATTTTGTCACAACGTATTGTTTTACTTGTTTTATTATTGGTTATCATTGGTAATTTCCTACTATGCCTGCATTGTAAATTAAACTTTACCACATGTATGTGTGCACAGGGAAAGAGCATCATATTTAGGGTTTGGCACTGTGTGGCTTCAGGCATCCCCCAGGGGTCTTGGAAAACTTTCCCCGCAGAGAAGGTGGGGGGTGCTGTACCGCTCCCCTCTTCCGAGGACACTACATTAATTACTTCATCAGTCACCCATCCTCCTCTGAGCACAGTGTGGCATTACTGCATGGCTAAGCGC